TGAGTTTGATACAGGCGGGAACCATTGGTGAAAATTCAAAATTTTTCATCAAAATGTTTCATGAGTTGAGTTTTGAAAAAAAAGAAAAGGCTTTTTGACCATCCACAACAATTTTCGACTATTTTTTAAATTTTTTGAAAAACGACTCCGAAACCAAAAGTGGTGGGGGGTGGGACCACAGCGCCAAAGGAGACTATTAGGGAAAACTAATAATATATATATTCTATGATCAGGTGAATCAGAAAATCAGTGGTATCGCAGTAGTTGATCTTTTTTCAAAGAGAAAACACACAGACACGAAAACTGAATATTTATTTGATAACCCTAATTTCAATTTACAGAATTTTTTACAGCGAATTCACTAGAAGCACAATGTCTAATCGAGGCCAAAGATTCCAGTTCTTAAATAATAATACTAAATTTTATTTAATTATATTCAGCTATTCTTGGGTTTCACTACGGCATTATGCAGTGAATCTGACGGGGGGTCAACCTCAAATGTATTGATGCTTGTGCTGTACTGGAGTGAGAAAATGATCCAAAATTCCACGTATTTGGTACCAAACACAAGGCTAATACATAAAACGAAAAATTGACTCACTCTGATAATTGTGTTTTGTTTTAAGGCCATGTTACACGGTGCAATTTTTCTTGCAACTTGCAATGCAATTCTGCTCTTGAGAGATGTTAATTAGTGAAATCAGTGAAGAATTTTCGATATGTTGAAAAAACATCAGCGGAGTGTAATGAAGACTCGTATTTGGCAATTTTACATCTCTCAAGAGTAGAATTACATTGCAAGTTGCAAGAAAAATTGCACCGTGTAACATGGCCTTTAGAGTTGACTCCCCGTCACTTCTGTGACGTCATATGAAACCCAGGAATAGCTAATCTCCCACTGGACCTTCTACAAAGACAGAAGAAAAAAACACCCCTATTTGGCAAACATCTTTTCAAATTTTTTTATTGTTTGTGGTTAACCAACCGACTGCCAGGCTATATTTTTGCCCAAATAGCACCAGGGGCACACCCACCGCCATTCCTTCCTTGTTATTGACCCATGATTTTTTTCAACTCTGTGTCTGCATATGTAGCATACTGTTGTTTGATGTACCTGGTTGACCGTACCCCTGGTTCACACATGAAGTACCAGTGGAATCAGTTCTTATTCTACTGGCACCAGGAAAGAGTTCTTATATAAAGGTCATATTCATTCATATACAGGGTGTCTCAAAAAAAAAAACGCTACGGAAATTCAACAGGCTGTCGTGCATCACTGATAAACTTAGCTAAACAATTCATTTTTTACATAGGACGAAAGATCTGTTATTTAGCTTCTCTATGATACCTTTTTTAAATTGTAACGATGAAAAATGGCCACATACACGTCAAATAAAAATTGCCGGTCGAAATCACATTCTTCCACCGTTGGGAATTGAAAATACATTAATTATGCAAAAAAGTTCTTATTGAGTCATTGTCTCACTAAGACGAAGATTGACGAGTTGAACTCATTTTAGATAATTTAACATTCAATTTTAATTCCCTCTTGG